TCCTGATAATCTCAAAATTGTGGTTTAAATTATCAAAATATCCTGATTATCATGACAGGATTATCAGGATTACTGAACCACTATGACTGACTCAAACTAGATGGAGAGTTTGAGCAGGCGGCGGGGGAGAGGGCGGACTCCAGAAACCATCAGAGCACCATCCAACTGGTTGATCCACGACGAGAAGGTGCTATTTATAAAACTGGGTTTGTTGTGGCTCCTCGGACTGATGAAGTCTTTTGGATGAAAGACGAAACGTTTCAACAAGAAGAAACCATCCAGAGGACCTGACTTAACTTTGCTGGTTATATTTTTGATGTTAAAACAAAAAAGAATGTCAAAGTTTTCTTTCAAAAACATACTGGATAATTAGTCTTATTTTATTAATCCCTCCAGATTAATTTAATGCAGGATCTTCTTCATGCATGACCTCCAAACATTGGAAGACTTTCTGCAGAAGCTCCCACAGTTTGATTGTTTGACCTTGTTGCCAATAAATATCTCAGGTATTGGGTTTGCACTCAGGTTGTGACTCACTCTGTCAATAAAAACTGAGAATGGGCAAATGAACTCTTGCTGCGCAGGTATTATCCCACACCGAGCTCATATGACCTCGTCTGACCTCCACCCACACGGTCAAAGGCTGAATTTTAGCCTAACTGCTTATAATGACTCTTTCAAAAGCCGATTCGATGAATGTTCCTCTTGGAAAATGGATTTAGTAAAAAGTTCCTTTGATTTTTGCAGAAATCTTAAAAGCCAGAACTACAGACGAAACACTCTTTGACTTTTCCTCAATAAGAAATGTATGCTGTCGTTACACGGAGCACGTTTAATACACTGAAACTACAGACAGCACAGAAATGTTGGTACTTATAAAGCTGCTTGTTCTGGTAAGTATTTGTACCTTTTAATGAGCACAGTAATTAGATATCCTGTTTTCTTCTTGTCCGGTCTCAGATTATTTAGTTTGTTTGTCTTATAATATTCTGTAATATTTAACATATAGAAAAATGATGTATCTTTAAGTGTTTCAAAACTTCTGAATTTCAATCACTGATCAATTTTTAAGCATTAAGATTACAAACTGGGAACTCACAGATATTTACAAGAAGTTTTCTTTCTGTTTGTTTCAATAAAATCAAATTACCAGCGTTGTTTATTGTCAGAGAGTTTTTCGTCAAATGTTATAGATGTTGTTGTTACTTTGTCTGAGAATCTTATCTCTGCCCATGAACCATGTGTTTGGGTTGGAGGAGAGAGCTGGGTGAGGCTGCAGCATGCAGCTGGCTCCAAGGATGCCACCTGAGCTTTGAACTCGGCTGAACTGGTGAGGAGATAAAAACAAGTGGAGGGGGCAGGTCGAGACAGATTCTTGTGACTTCTCTTCGTGTGTGTACATGTATGTATATTTATGTAACCTATCTTTAAAATATGACCTTGCAAAGTACCCCTTCCATCTTCCCGTCACGCTCTCCTCACTTGTTGGAACATTATCATTCCTATCTTTAACAAGCCTAACCTGCTGCACATCCTTTCCAGCCTGATCCCTCTGTCTCACCAATCGGTACAAGTCCTTCTCACCCTCTTTAGTGTCCAGTCTCCCATACAACTCATCATGCACCTTCTGCTTTGTCTTAGCTACTTCCCTCTTGGCTCTACATCCCATCTCCTTATCTTCCTGTCTCCTCTCTTTAGTCCTCTCTCTGTCATATTTCTTCTTGGCTAACCTCTTTCTTTGAACAGCTTCCTGCACTTCACTGTTCCACCACCAGGTTTCCTGATCATCCATTCTCTGTCCAGATGACACACCAAGTACCTTCCTACCTGTCTCTCTAATTACTGTTGCTGTAGTAGTCCAGTCATCTGGAAGCTCTTTCTTACCACCCAGAGCCTTTAACAGCTCCTCTCTGAATTTATCACAACATTCTTCCTTCTTCATCTTCCACCATTTGGTCTTCTTCTCTGATTTGACTCTTTTTCTCTTCTTCACAACAACAGTCATTCTACACACAACCATCCGATGCTGTCTGGCCACGCTCTCCCCTGCCACAACCTTACAGTCTCCAATCTCCCTCAGGTTTCCTCTTCTACACAGAATGTAGTCGACCTGCGTACTCCTTCCTCCACTCTTATAGGTCACTCTATGTTCCTCCCTCTTTTGGAAACAGGTGTCGACTACAGCCATTTCCATTCTCTTGGTAAAATCCACCACCATCTGTCCTTCCTGGTTTCTTTCCTTGACACCAAACCTACCCATCACTTCCTCATCCTCTGTTTCCTTCACCAACATGTCCATTCAGGTCTGCTCCCATCACCACTCTCTCCTCCCTGGGAATACTCTCTATCACTTCATCCACATCTTTACAAAATGTATCTTTCTCCTCCACATCACATCCAACCTGTGGAGCATAACCACTGACAACGTTTAGCATCAAATCTTCTACTTTTTTTCAACCTTTATTTAGACAGGTTAATCCCAAATATTAAAGATCTTCTACTTGTACGTTCAGACACATCACCCTAGCTGACACTCTTTTCACCTCTACTACATTCTTTGCCATCTCCTCCTTCAGGACCACCCCTACTCCTTTTCTCTTTCTATCCACACCATGGTAAAACAGTTTGAACCCTGCTCCAATGCTGCGAGCCTTGCTGCCCTTTCACTTGGTCCCTTGGACACATAAAACATCTACCTTCCTTCTCAGCATCATGTCAGCCAGCTCTCTACCTTTGCCTGTCATTGTCCCCACATTTAGAGTTGCAGCCCTCAGTCCTACATTCTTGACTTTCCTCTTCTCCTCCGTCTCCTGACACGTTTCCCTCCTGGTGGTTTTTGATTTTTAACACTTCATACACAGTCCGTGAAAATGACAGCTTCGTTTTCTTTGGTCAAATTATTACAAATCTGATGTTGAAATTTTGGTCAGCAGTTATATTGTCACCCTTCCGAAATTCACCAGAATCTTCAAAATGTTAATAAACAACCACTTTTTTAAATTTATTTATTTAAGGAAGACCGATGCATTTTTGTGATGTGTGTTTTATTGTTACATAGAAAATTCAAACTTCAACTCTAAAGATGAATCTTTACAGAGTGTGGCTGCTTTGAAAAATACATTTTTTTGTAAAGCAGGAACAGTTTTCAGTTTTCAGAAGTCTTTTAGCACCATGACTGAAAAACATGCCAACAATAGAAAACTACAGGACAGAGGAAGGCAAATCACAAACCACCATTAAAAACAGCCGTCTGTGTTCACAGAGTCACGCTGGCAATAAAAAAGTGCATCTTTGCAAACCTCCTGCGAGTTCTGAAGGTCCAAGTTCTTAAAGCTTTATCTTTTCAGGTGTCCACAGGTCAGCCTGATCTCACCGGGGTCGTCCCACCCTGGAGAAGGACAGAACACATTTGAGATAAGTTTTTAAATCACTTTTATCAGTATTTCTCAGTAAGTGGATTCCAGCAGGCAGAAGTGTTGGAGAGCTGGTGTTCAGGGAAGCGTGTCCTTCTTTTACCTCCGTCCCCATCACAAACTGGAGCTGTATGATTGGATTCTGGGCATCGAGGCGTTCGGTCCAATCAGCTCCTCAGCTGCCAGCCGGGGGACCGGACCACTGCTGGACCGAGGGGAACGTTTGAGAGGCGGCACGTTGCGCTGTTGAAACTTCCATTCTTATCTGGAAAACACGTCCAAAAACAGCGGATTACAACGACGCAAAGGTTTTATTTGGTTGAACACGTAAGTTGACGTCAAGCCGTCGGCTCAGTTTTTGTTATAATATGGAGAATAAGGGAAAACAGTGGTTGAACTAATTCTGATTAAATCATTTTTAAAGATTTGTCTTTGTTCAGTAATCCAAGCAGAAACCTTGGATTAATAGACCGGAGATTAAGAACAGAGCTCCAGCACCTCAGGTTTATTTTAGATCTCTTCATCACTTTCCTCCAAACAAATGACCAACAATTAGATTCAGTTTGCAGAACTTTGGACAAACGAGGCCACCACTGACAGGAAATGTAGCTTAACTGGTTCTGCGTGCTGCATTTTTTGCTTTGTTGAATTGAACAAGGATGAAAATCTGAGGCCGTGGTCCTCAGTTGGAAAAGGGTGGATTGTTCTCTTCAGGTCGAGGGTGATGTTCTATCTCAAGTGGAGGAGTTCAAGTATCTTAAAGTCCACTGGGCTTCTGCTTCTTCCTGCACTGTTACATTTTTTGTTCTTAATCAAAGTTATTCTTCATCTTCCACCCCCGCCTCCAACAATGACCAGTTTTAGTTTATACATCGGGGCGTTGCAAACATTTGATATATTCATATTATTTTGAAACTAGAGGTCAACATTTCAGCTTTTATTTCTTGGTATTTAAATTTAGATCTCCCTAAAATAACAGTTGGAGGAGAGCACGAAGAATAAAGATGCAAGACTTTTCATAAACACTTGTCTCCACACCTCTTTTTAAATAGTTTACACCCATCGATCATCTTGTTTATCAAACCATCAAACGCAGTTTATTACTGCATGTCTTGTGTCACTCACGTGCACAAATGCGATCACCGTTTCAGGATCACTTCCTCAGAAGAAGCCTCGTGTCGCAGCTCAGTGACCTCAGTTGGCGCCCCGGTTGAAGTGCTCCAGCACGGTGGCGTTGGTTCGCTCGAACAGCCACTGCTGGCTCGGAGAGCCGGGGTCGCACGTGTTCATGAAGACCCGCCGCTCGCTCGTACTGCTGTCGATGCAGCTGTTGCTGACGGGGTGAAACAGACTCTTGTCCTGGAGGACACCAAAAGAACAGGATGGTGCATCGAGTCACTCCTGCACAGATTCAGCTGAGGACTCGGCTAAAAATACCTTCCTGTAGCTCCACAGCTGGTTGCCTTTCATGCCGTGGCAGTCGTACAGCGTGACGGGGCTGCTGGGGGACACCGCATCAAAGCACACCTTCCTCGTGTGCATGGGGTCGCCCACCCGGATGTCCTCCCTCCAACCAAAGGTCAGCACCTGCAGGGAGCAGACGAGATGACATCATCAGAGACTTGTTGACCCTGGTCAGATGAATGAACGACTCAAGTCGAGTGTCTAACTCAGAAGACCGGCCTTCAGTGAACTCATGAAACTTATTATGAAATATAAATAACCAGGATGATGTGAAGTCGTGATGGTTACCTGTCCGTGACTCCAGCCGGCTTCACCGCGGCTCTTCACGCAGGTCTCCAGGCGGATGGGACTCCCGGAGACGAAGTGTTTGATCTCCATGCACATCCCACTGCCAACGTTCCTGATCTGGGCAGAACAACACAGACCGACGCTGAAACCCATGAAGTCAGGAGGATATCGTTTCATTCTTCTCCTCGTCTCAATAAAAACTAGTTTTTATACACAAAATGAAATAATTCAACACTTGTGCATTATCCTCTTATATTTATTATTTCTGCACAGCTGCAGAAAGAAAAGCTTTGCAGAGAGTGGTGAAGGCTGCACAGAAGATGTTGGAGTCAGTCTCCCCTACATCACAGACATCTACACCTCCAGATGCAGGAAGAGGGCCACCTGCATCATGAAGGACCACACTCACCCAGCACACACACTTTTTGCCCCACTCCCATCAGGAAGGAGGTTGAGGAGCATTAAGTGTAGAACCACTAGACTGAGGAACAGCTTCTACCCTGAGGCTGTTAGACTCAATATTAGTTTACATTATCAGTGTTTATCATGTATCTGAGATCTTTGAGAGTATCGTTTGGCGTTGGTTCAGCGTATATCTTAGATCCTTATTTACGGTTTCTTTTTATACTTTATATTTTTGCTATTGTTGGGTGTAAATGGGACGTTGAGAACACAATTCCGTTCCACCTCATGCACCACGTGATGCAAATGACAATAAAGAACCTTGATTATATTTGGAGAGTGGTGGCGCAAAGTTTAGAGAAGGTGGGCCTGTGATCGGAAGGTCGCTGGTTCAACTCCCCGTACAGACAACATCAAAATGTGGGTGGAAAAGGTGAAGCACCCACACCTGTCTCCTCCCTCATTTGCCCCACTCTGAGCCCTTGAGCAAGGCCCTTAACCAGGCTGTGGTAGCTCGGTGGTTGTGTCAGGAAGGCCATCCGGTGCTTTCACTGACTTTTATTTGAACAGATTCAGGATCTTCTCTTCAGAACTGGACTCTTTTGATCCCTACATGAAACACTGTAATAATGAATAATTAAAGATCTGAGTGAGTCAGTACACTTCAGACCCTAACCACAGCTTTTTAACACAGAAATTCAATGTAAAAAAACAAAAACAGATTCTGTCTGTTGTTCCGACTGTTCACTAATATTTGAAAATGTTTGCTCACAAACAGGTTTAAAATGAAACTCTTTCATAAAATCAGACCAATACACACAAATGAGGCCAAACCTTATAATAATTAATCTAGAAGCAATAAATGATTTTTATGATTTACATAAAACTGAAGTTTTGTTTATTCCTAATATTTTAGCTGATCCTTGTGATGAAGATGAATCCCTTTTTTGGTGTTTGTTGCTGTTTCTGTTGGTGCTGCAGTTGTGAACAGCACATGTCAATAATGAGAAAGTAAACCTACACAGCAGGAAGTGAAAAATAAAAGGGTTGTTTTCTACTAAAGGGAGAGTAAAGTACACAAACATAAATGCACGTTTTAATTCGTCTTATATTTTCTTAATGAATGTCTGCAGAAAACCTGCTTGCAGGCTTTTCAGTTAATTATTAAATTAATCAGATTTATGTGTACAAAGATGTAATAAACTAATGCATCCAGATTTATTTTGAAAACTGCACGACTGCTCTTCCTGTTTAGTTTCATGGTGGGAATCTGGACAAATTGTTTAACCTTCACATCCTTAAAGATTTAAAAAACGTGTTTCTCTACACTTAGATTTATGCACAGCAACTGTTTGATTGAGGCTTTATTTATTAAAAGTGCTCACAATATTACAAAAGTAAATATTCCTCTAAAGCAAAGTTGTATTTATTTTTGATCAGAGAACACCAAACTCAATCAAACATTAAGATGCATGATAATTTGTGTTTATGACCGCTGGGCCGGTCTGATGACCTAAGCGGGCTCTCACCTCCCCCCACGCAGCGGCAGGAGGCTCCACCGGAGGGTAGTGTCTCGGCAGGTCCCAGGCCACCTCCTGCATGAACCACCTGAAGCTGTTGCAGTTCAGCCGGCTGCGCAGCTCCTTCTGCGCCGTCATGTCTCCTGCCGACAGGTGGCGGTACTCGGGCCGGCGCTGGTAAACGTACTCGGCGTACTCGTCCATCCAGACCTCCGCAACGCGCTTCAGGTTCTTTAAGGAGAGAAAAGAATCCTACATTTCTCAGAGAAATTCTCGACTTTTTACGACGGTTTACAGACAGAAACACACACAGATACAGAGAAAAAATAATTTTGTCCACCTTCGGGTTTCAAACCTCCCAGCTCTTCTATAAGCTTTAGAAAGATTTAAATTGTACTAATGTTGAACGCTTTTAAAAGAAATATGCGGTTTTTCCCGGTAAACTGATGTTACATCTGCTCAGACAACGCATTTCATAACCATCCTCATTGCCCATTGGTGTCAGAAGCATTTTTAATATGGGGGGGTCACACTGGTGGGGGTCTGGCGGTCCTCCACCAGAAACTTTTGAACAAAGTAGATGCCATTTCCTGCATTCTGGTGTATTTTAAAGGTTGTTAAACATCTACGTTTACCTACATAAGTAAACACTTGATTCAATAACTATTTCAGAGAGCAACAAGGAGTAGCCTGACCAACAGCTCTCCCTGTGTGAATAGAGCACGCTCCGCTTCTCTCACGCATCCTAACCCGGTCAAGAACTTCCAGCAATAATGTAGCGCTAAGCTGGCGCGCAACATTAATATGCTAGCTTAGATGCTACAGACGACAGATGTAGCACTCAACCCCCCCCCCCCATGTCAACAACTGCTGGCACTTACTAACGCTAACGCTATATATGAATGCTTGTGCTCATGTTCGTGCTGCTGTTCGGCCTATTGTTTTTGTACTATTAGTGCTTAGTGTATTTTTAGTTTAACGTTTTTCTTAGTTCATATCTTAGATCTTATTATGGTTTTTCTTTTACATTTTATACTTTTGTTGGATATAACTGTGACCCTGTGTACACAATTTTGTTCCACCACATGTATGACAAAAAAAAACTTTGACTTTGTATATCCACAAACCAAACACCACCTCTGTGAACAGTAAACAGCCATCAGGTGCTAATGATCCATTGTTAGGCTGATGGTCCTTCTTGAGCATGTGATCAGCTGGTTTTGGTTGTCAGCAGCAAACTGGTTGATCCACCCTGAGAAGGTGCTATTTAAGAGACTGAGCTGAAAACAGCACCTCAGACTGAGGAAGTCTCTTGGATGAGAGACGAAACGTTTCGAGATTTTTTTTGCTTTGTTTTGCTTTTGTTTTTTTGAATGTCCAGAGGACCAGATTTAACTTTTTTGGATTTTTCTACCTGGATTATTGAGCATGCATCAGGAAATAATGTTAATTATTTATCATAATAAGGATTTTGTTTCTCGTGTCCATCACAAACGTGACGTGGTGGTTGTGGGTCCGTCTCTACCTTGGCCAAACTGATGCCACCAGGAACCTTGTAGGGGACGTATTTACGGTAGATGTGTCCCACCCTTGAGCACGGGATGTCCTCCATCCGACCGCCACACATCCACACCTTCAGAGACACAGAAACAAAAAGATGGACATTTGTCATTTCAGCCTGATCTTCTCCTGCAGAGAGAAATAAACAGGAAGTGTCAAAAGCCCAACGGTGAAATAAAGACAATGAGATTCTTGCATAGTATTGGACATTGTTTCGTCTTTGCTCTTTTAAATAACCATTTATAACAAAATACGTTGTTTAATTTAGAGCATTTCAATTCAATTGAAAAATACTTTATTAATCCCAAAGGGAAATTCAATGTTGTTGAAGCTCATCCCGGTTTCATTAGAGTTGTTCTAGATGCTGATGGCTTTGAGCAGGAAGGATCTCTTGTAGCAGTCCGTACCACAGCAGATCCGAAACTGGCTGCAGATGCCGATCCGTCCACCCAGACCCAGCAGACCTCTTGGTCCTCTTGGTCAGCAGGACTGCCTGAACACCAGGCAGAACTCCTCCCCGAGCGATGGCCATTCCTCCCAGCCGAGCCCCTCGTCTCAGCGGACTTAACTGCAGGTGCCGGGGGACGATCTCGGTCCTCTCGATGTCACGAACCATGTTTCTTGCCAATTCCAAGATCTCGGCTATCGGGCACTCGAGCACAGCCTCCAGGTAGACAGTAATGCATCTATGGCACCTCCTTTTCAACCCATTTGCGAATTGGGGCTGTAGTTGAGGTCTTATCTGAGCTTATGAGATGTTAATCCCGTTTGTAGAAAACCACCTTGTTGTTATGGTTACGCATCATAACAAATGTCCAAAAGTAAAAAAAGGTTTCAGTAAAAATCCTTCCAGCGGCACAGCATCTGATACCAGAGGACGTAATCATCCGAAAAAAGTGATTTACATCCAGAAAAAAAGAGTAATTAAAGTTTTCAAAAGCAAAATCTCAGAATGAATGTGAGAGCTACTCCAACATGCAGACACCATGAGCAGCACAATTTTGACATTTAACAGGTAAAAAATGAAAAAGTTGCAGTTTTTCAGGAGAACAAATCCTCCGTCCCTGAAATGACTTGAATTTGTCCAAAACGGGTTTATTCCGTTTCAAATCCCACTCCTCGTGTGTTCGTCTTTAGTGCCTCGTTTCGAGCATTATTCTCATTTAATTCTGCTCTCACTTTGTTTATGAGGCACAACAAAGACTTCAAACGCTTGTCCTCGATTTTAAACCTTCAGCTACAATAAAGACGAGAGCAGCTATTGTCTGAGTCGGCTCGCAAAGCTGAGAACGAACCGGCGAGGACGTGAAAAGGACGACTTAACGACAGGAACGTGGAAAATAGGCCGTCTTTAAAGACACAACGCAGCGAGGAAAATATGAAGCCAGAAGACAGAGAGGAGACGTGCGCTCCCGTGGATCAGAGTCCACAAAATTTTAAAGTCAATTCGGTTTATTTCTGTAGCTCCAAATTACAACAGGTCATCTCAGAGCACTGGACAGAAACATTCACATTCATTATAAAAGAAAACCAGTAAAAGTTCTCTCTCTAAGGAAGCAGCAGATTGTGTTCAGTCTTCACTTCCTCACAGTCTCTCATCCTGAGCGAGCACAAAGGAGACAGTGGAAAGGAAAAACTCCCTTTAACAGGAAGAAACCTCCAGTAGAACCAGCTCAGGACGAGGGACCATCTGCTTCGAGTGGCTGGGTTTGAGAGGACAGGAAGTAGAAACAGACAAACACAGAATGACAGGTCCAGGCGTGGTTTCTATAGTCCAGGTGTACAAACTATAGGAGGAAAGATAAAAAACATGTTAAGATAGAAATAATTACAAATATAAACAAGAGTAAAGACAGCAGCAGAGAGGGCATGAGGTCATTTTGTCCTCCTGCAGTATAAGTCTATAGCAGCATAACTAAGGGATTGCTCAGGAAACCCAAGCCGACCGTAACTATTGGATTTATCAAAAAGGAAAGTCTTAAGCCTAATCTTTAAAGTGGACAAGTTACAGAAACTGGAAGATGGTTCCACAAGAGAGGAGCCTGATAACTGAAAGATCTTCTTCCCATTCTGCTTTTGGAAACTTTAGGAACTGCAAGTAAACCTGCGGAAAACAGGTTAAATTAAAAAAAAAACATTTTACTTATAACTTGAACATGTGGGCATACATAACCACAAATCAATGAGGATCTAAGGGACAGCTATAAGGTTTAAAAAATAAAACTTTTCACAATAAATTCCTTCTGGGTTTATGGCATCTTTTAGTTCATGCATGTCTTAAACGGTAAACATAAATAAATACAAAACGTCACATCTTCGACATGACATGAGAAGATCCTGATGTGACTAAAAACTCAAATCTGAAACTAAAAGAAGAAACCGTGGAGTCTTAAAACCCACAGACACTGTGATGCATTTAGGTCAGGACTTATGTTCTAATTATTTAATCATCGTGAAGCAACATGAGCAATCCTGCATCCAATTAAAATGTAAAACGTTGAATAATATTTAAAGGTCACAGCATCACAGTAAGGAACACAAAAGATAAAACTGTAAAAGGAGCAAACACAGCATTTAAGGCGTGCACAACAGAAAGAACGAGGCTTGTGCCACTCAGACTGAATATTATTAGTGATTATTAAATAATTAGCTTTCAGAAGGACAACCGTGATGAAACTTTACAAACAAAGCTGAACGAAGAGCACTTCAAATATTTTACAGTTAAATAAAACAACAAACCGTAGGAAGTTCAATTCATCATTCATTCTTTTCACATTCTGGTACTCGGGGGAGCTGGCGTGCACATTTAGCTGCACAGGAGTTAACCCTCCTGCTGCCCTCAGGTCAAAATGGACGCCCCCGTTTTAGAACGCAGGCCTTGTGGGTCGTTTGGACCCAAGGCAGCAGGAGGGTCTGCTGGTTTTTCTCAGATAAGAATATGAGTGTATGTTCTTTTCTGATAGTGCTCAGACGATGCGTTAGGGATGACTGGCAGCTACTACCAGCTACTGCCTACATTTTAGGCCAATTTCAAAACTGCCCTTCATGTCAAAGATCTTAGAGAAAACTTTTACAGCCAGTTAACATTTTCCTTAAACGACCACAACCTTCTTGAACCGTTTCAATCTGGTTTTAAAACTCACCACAGTACTGAGTCAGCACTGTAGAAAGGTTTTAATGACATTCGTTCAGCCACAGACTCTGGTCACTGTGTGGTTGTGATGCTGCTGGACCTAACCGCTGCCTTCAACACAGTGGACCATCACATCCTCCTGTCTCGCCTGGAGAACTGGATGGGCATCCCGGGTCCTGCTCTACAGTGGTTTAGATACTATAGTAACAGAAAGAAGCTTCTGTGTGCTGTGGAATCCTATGTAGCGCCTCTCACATGTAGAATACCTCAGGGATCTATACTTGGCCCCCTTCTGTTTTCCCTTTATTTACTCCCTCTGGGATATCTTCTCAGGAAACATGGTGTTACTTTTCATTTTTATGCTGATGACAGCCAAATTTATGTGCCATTAAAACAAGACAAACAGTCTGTGAACCAACTCCTGGAATGTACGGCAGAAGTCAGAGCAGGATGTCACAGAAGATTTTACATTTTAATGAGAAAAAGACTGAGGTCTTGTTGTTTAAGCCCATGTTCCAAAGTCCATGCTGATCTGGATCCTTTAACAAAACATCTGGCTGAGACAGCAGCGAGGCTGGACAACTGGATGCTCAGATTAAATCAGGGATCAAGTCCAGCTTTTATCAGCTGAGACAACTGGCCAAGGTCAAACCATCATTTAGAGATTTTAATCTATGCTTTCATTACAACTCTTCTGGACTACTGTAATTCACTTTATGTGGACCTGAACCAGTCATTACTGACTCGACTTCAGCTGGTTCAGAACGCTAACTGATAGTAACTGATACCAGAAAACGAGAGCACATCACCCCAGTTTTAGAATCATGGCTCCCATTTCATTTTCAGATTCATTTTAAAGTTCTTTTATTTGTTTTCAAATGTCTTCATGGTCTCACAGTATCTGTCTGACCTGCTCCAGCTGTTCCCTCACGCTCTCTCAGGTCAGCAGATCAGCTGCTGCTGGTCGTCCCAAAGTCCAGCAGGAGGCTGAGAGGTGGCCGAGCGTTCTCAGCCACTGCCCTGAACTGTGGAACGAGCTGCCTCTGACATCACTTCCTGTTTTTAAATCTTCTCTGAAGACACGTTTGTTCTTTTGGGCTTTTAACTCAGCTTGAAATGTTGGTTTTACTGTTTTTAATTTATTTGTTTTTATTGTTTTTACTGTTTGTTGTTTTTATGATGTTAACAGTTCATTACTTTTGTGGTATCTGTTGATGTTGTGATTTTTGTGCTTGTATGTGTTAGTGTAGAGCACTTTGGTCTACGGTGTTTTTAAAGTGCTTTATAAATAAAGTTTTATTGTACCACACTGAACTTTAGCTCGACATTTATAAAATCCACTCAGCTAGTTTAGTAAAGTGGTAGATGTGGCAGCCGGTGTTCAGTTCTTGTACATCATGAGATTACCTTCTGAAAATGTCCTTATAATTTGTCCACTGGGCGACGAGATATTTTGCTAAAAGACAGACACAGTCAGTTACAGCACATTTCATGGTGGAAAAGGTTTAATCAGTTCTGCCTTCAGAGCAGCTGTGTGTGTGTGAAGTGTTTGCACGACTAAAACCACAGGAAGAATCTGCAGTCGGCTCCATCCTCCGGCGCTGCACGAGAGCTTAAATTGCCTCCGCGCTCGTCGAGCCCTCGCGCTCCGATATCATCTCGCTGTGTGAGCGGGAGATGTTTGGCGCTCTCACAACGCTGTCGCCAGGACGGAGCTTCAGATTTACCGTGCCGGTGCACAAAGTAATTCTGTTTCACATGCGAGCGGGGTCTGCTCGTCTGCGGGAGCAGCAGTTTGGTTGTAAGGATTAGCGTGAGAGTCGGTTAATCTGCTCACCTCAGGAGACGGGCCGACTGCAGCACATCAGCTAATGGGGATCTTAATAAAGACGGAACCAAATTGAATATCTGAGCACATGAAGCAGACCTGAGAGGCACAGGGAGGCATGTGCTGATAGCATAATTTTACAGTTTGATCATCTTGGCTGAAATAATAACCTTGCTATGGGATATTATATCAGTAATTATTAAAACAAGATGAAAAGACGAGGAGCAGAATTAAAAACTTGAGGTTTTCTCCCCGTCTTCAGTGAGGGAGCTTATCGCTCGTTTCACAGTCAAAGCTTTAAATATCACGTCTGGTAAAGATGAAGCACTCCTTTTCTTAAGTCAAAAGCAACAGAAGGTTTAAAATCTTAAAATGAGGTCAACTCGACCTGGCATGGACAAAACAAACTCTTCTCGTGTTTTACAGACTTTAAATCAAACCGTGCAGGAATACTGTGTGACAAACGATGTCTACGACATCTATAGGAAGTTAAACAGGTGTGTTTTAACACGATGGCAAGATGGAAAGACATCAGCAGTGACCTCAGAGAAGCAACTGCTGCCGCCCATCAATCTGAGAAAGGTCAAAGGTCATGTATAAACCGTCCATCATGTTACAGAGACAAAGATTATTCACAAGTGGAAAACATCTAAGACAGCTGTCAACTACCAGGAGTGGATGTCCCAACAGTCACCCTGAAGGTCAGACTGTGCAGCGCTCAGAGAAATCACTGTGCCACACTTTATCTAGACCTGTCCAACGTGTCAGATACTGTATATCATGGCATCTTATATCATAAGCTCTCACATACTGGTTTCTCAAATCACACTATCAGATGGTTTTCTAATTATCTCTCAGATCGGAGGCAATGTGTTCAACACGACGGTTCTTCTTCTAGTTATTTAACTGTCAATAATGGTGTGCCACAAGGCTCAGTTTTAGGACACACTCTCTTTACAATCTATAGAAGTAATGTAGGTCAAAACATTCCAGACGCCTCCTTGCATCTCTATGCTGATGATGCACATATTTACTGTCGAGCTAAAACAGTTGCCAAAGTTTTCCAGTTTCTACAGTCTGCATTTGACATCATCCAGTCAGACTTGTTCCATCTCAAACTGGTGCTAAACGCTGATAAAACCAAAGGGATGTTGTTTTCAAACAGGAAGTTGGTACCAGCAGTTCTTCCTCCCATCTCATCCACACTTGGTGTTCCTGTTGAGGTTGTGGATTCTTACAAATACTTGGGAATTTCAACTGATGCACATCTCTATGTCAAGCCACTTGTTGAAAATAAACTGAAACTAAAACTGGGTTTCTTTTTCAGAAATAGATATTGTTTAAAAAAAATCAAAGCAATTATGTTCTTGTTTTTAGTATTTTACTTTGTTTTATAAGAATTGTTGATCTGAGTGTAATACTTTTTAATTTTAATTGCTTTTTATTGTTATATATTGTTTTCTTCACTTTATATGTTGTCCGTCTAAAACAGTCTCTCTTGTAAAAGAGTCCCCGAGACCCAATGAGACTAACCTGTACGAATAAAGACTGAATGAAAATGAGCTCCAGCTCAGACTCTACAAGCCTCAGTTAACAAGTTAAAGGTCAAAGGTCATGGGAGAAGGCCTCTCCAGTGTAAAAACAACACAACTCCAGTTTAGAAAGTTCTAAACCAGTCCATAGTGGACACGTTTACCCAGAATGCACAGCTTCAGCTTGGGGCAAAGACCAAATGCGACACCTTGACACAAACACCTCTTGCCAACTGTCCGGCACGGTGGTGGGAGGTTGGTGATGTTGGCTCATTTTGGATCAATCTCGTGTTTTATTTTCAGGAAGACGACAAACAACTTTTCAACCAACAAGAAGGAACGCTCAACGACAGCCCGGAACAAGAAAACATGGAAAGTCTCAGAATAAGAGATAATCTGTAACTTTTCAAGCAAACCTTATCCCATTTAATCCAGCTTAGATTATTCTCTCCCAGATACATTTAACTTCATCTGAACATCTCAGATTATTTCAAAGCAGACCAAGCAGATGTAAAATGGTTCTGTTGTTTTTACCTTGAATGAAATCTCGTACTGCTCTCCTCCCCAAATCTCCAGACCAGTGTCGTATCCTCCCAGTTCCCAGAACCACTTCCTGTCCACAGCAAACAGCCCACCTGCCATCACCGGAGACCTGCAGGACACAAACACATGGTGCTGTTACAAAGAAGCTGTACTAATGTATTCTCTAATTAAATAGTTTTTTTTTATTTTAAATGTATCGTAAACTGGTTTGGACATGTCCAGAGGAGGGACAGTGGGTATACTGGTAGAAGGATGTTAGAAATGCAGCTGCCAGGAAAAAGACAAAGAGGAGATATACGGAGGACATGGAGGTAGTTGGAGTGAGGACAGAGGACACAGAGGACAGAGATGGAGGAGGATGACTCGCTGTGGAGCCCCCTGAAGAGGGAACAGTCGTTTTCTTCCAAGATTTGACAAAGTTTGAATGTTTTCTTCTGAAACAAAGATTTACTGCAGATCATCTTCAATGGGAGGGTCTGAGCTGTTGAGTTAAATCCAGGTGGTAACTTCCTCCTAATTGTTATATTTATAGAAGGATCCCTTCCCTCCACATAATGGGGACAATCTACAACCATTAACCCTCTGCAGGGTGTGTGTTTGCTGCGATGGGCTGAGTCTGTTGCTGCTGAACACCTGAGGCAGAGACAGCTGCAAACACACGTTACGTCACGTTTGTTGTGAGCACGCTCACTAACTGAATGAAAGCATCAGCACCTGGCGACACCAACCAGCAAGCAGCTGTTTCCATCGGCCAATCTGTCTTCTGCAGTACAAAAATATTAAATATATGCATCCCTAGGTTGTCATGGTTACAAGGTTTTCATTAATAGGAGGCGGTGAGTCAGCAGGAGGTCTGTTCTCTCCAAAGTCGTCCCTGAGGAGGATCAATTAAAAGCAGGTTTATCAGAGAAACACTGCAGGGCTTCCTGTATCTCAGGAGCAGCGATCAGTCGGGTTTCTGCAGGTTTTACCTCCAAAAGGTAAAAAAATAATTATTGAACAAAACAAAGCAGAGATTACAGAAACGTCTGGACTTCTCTGCACCCCACAGGAACCAGCCGAAAGTTCAGGTCTTAACAATTCAAACAGAATTAGGTCCATTTGATGCCTGCAGGGTTGTGTTCATGCAGGGATACGTGCACAAAGTGCATGTGGTGCAAAGTAGTGAGCGTTTTATCCCTGACTTGTACAAAACATGATCAGCAGGGTGCAAAACTGGGGGTTTGATCAGTATCTAACTTAGCTTGTTAGATGATGATAAACTTCCAATTGTGCATTTTTGCTCCAACAATAATCCTAAAATGAGATTAATGGAATGTTCATGGTTTCAAGATAATCTGTGGTAACTGTTGAAATGTGACGCACTCAAAAGGCTCTGTCGGGTCGTCCCTCTTCATCTCCGGAGGAATGGGGATCCGTTTGTAGTACATCTCCCAGTCGAAGGCGCCGCGCATGGCGTCCCCGGCCTGCGTGCCGTAGCCAAAGTTATCGTGGTCGATGACGTCAATCATGGGACACACAATGGTCTTCCTGTTCTGGGCGATTCGGTCTGAAAACACAAACATAACTATTGTTTAGAATTGTCTTTAAATTAAGTATAAATCCAAATAGTTTCATTTTGAAGGCAAGTTCAGGAAACTCGAATGTTTTGACAAATTTAAAACTTTGCTGAAGCATCGACTAATATTACAAGGAAAGGTTTTGAGGAACTGCTGGGGAATTAAAGGTTGGATTATTCACAGAGACGGACCAATCAGAGAAGACTGTTCAGGAAGAGATGGGCAAATATAAAAGATGTCAGTCAGTCGGACAGACAGTCAGACAGACAGTCAGACAGTCAGTCAGACAGACAGTCAGACAGTCAGTCAGTCAGTCAGACAGACAGACAGACAGTCAGACAGTCAAAGTATAAAACCCAGGGGGGAATTCGAGAATAGAACCAAAATAGAATATTTGGATTTTTGAGAAATTTGAAAAAAACACTGACTAAAGACTTTAACTTAACAACTTTAATTTAACTACAACAAAACATCCATCCATCATCTTCAGGCGGGGGACACCTGGACATGTCTCCAGTCCATCACAGAGACAGAGACAAACGAGACAAACAACCATTCACTCTCTCTCTCACCTAGAGATAATTTAGAGTTACCAATCAGCCTAACATGCATGTTTTTGGTCTGTGGGAGGAAACTGGAGTACCCAGAGAAAACCCACGCAGCACGGAGAGAACATGCAAACTCCACCCAGAAAGGCCCCTGGCCGAGATTTGAACCAGCAACCTTCTCACTGAGAGGCAACAGGTCTTCCAAGTGATCCAGCGTGCTGCCCCACAACAAAACAAGTTTTGGAAAATTCAGGGATTTTAAGTCAAGATATCAATAATTTTAGAGGAAAAAAAGAGTTTTAGGACTAAACGCCTGGATAGAAAGAATAAAGAACAATTTAAAGGTGAAATAGTTGGTTTGTAAAGTATCGAGTAGCAGGGAGTTTCGGAAACCAAGACAAAATGTCATGTGACATCATAAACTCATAAAATGAGCAGGCAGCAGGTTAAACAGCTGAAACAAGTCAGACAAGTTAAACAGGTTATTCTAGATAATCATCATTGAAGAAATGCATATCACCAACCAGCCAGGACTAAACTCATCGTCTGTCACTCGTATCGTTAACCTGATGACATCACGGGACCTTTTCTCCGCTCTGAGCCTCAGGTAGTCTTCCTCACCCAGCAGAGGAGGCAGCCAGTTGACGTTGGCCTCGCAGTGAGAGTCCAGGAAGGTGATGACCTCGCCTTTAGCCACGGAGGCCCCGAGCAGCCGGGTCCTGATCAGACCCTCCCTCTTCTTGGTCCTCAGAATTCGAACCTTGGCCATCCGGGTCATGTACTCCTCCAGGGCCGTCTTCAGGTGCTCTGCACACAAACAAGGACCGACGGTCAGATTCCTGCTCCAGCATCGGGTTCTGTTGTGAAGTGGCAGAAATCATTTTACTACTTCTGACTCGTACTTTTCAGAATATTTGTATTTTTACACAGACTGAACACAGTTTATAACAATAAGAGTCTTTGAGAACTCTGATATATGAACAAAAGAATTACTACAATAAATATATTTTCCCTTTTTTTAAATAGACACATAAGTTTTGAGCATCTCGGGCTAAAAAAGCATTGAAATGAAAAATCCTTGAGACAAAACAGACTTTTTGTTCCTGCACTTTAAAACATAAGTTTTATCTGCTCTGGATGGTTTTCCGTCCACATCTACTAATTTTCCAAGATGAGCAAAAGAAAAGCGCAAGTTTCCGTCGCTGTTTGAAGCCGAGTCGGGCCTAACGAGGTTTAGCGAGAACGTCTTTGAAGTGTCACGTTGGCATGAACGTTTGGCACCGTCACGTCCCGAGCAGAACCACAGGAGGAACAAAATGATCAAAAACCTGCCTGGGATGTAAACAAATCATGAAAACTGAAAGCTGAAGCATCTAAACACCATCAACGAACTCTTCAACAGCAGCGCAGGGTGACGCAAATATGCATCAGTTTCTGTTCAGTTATCTCCGCTCAGAAGAAGATGTGGCCTGGACGAGCAGAGACCTGAAACAGCATGTGACCTTGATTTGTGACCTTGACCTTGGAGCGGGGTGATGAGAAGCGTGAGCCCTCAGCTAGCGATGGTACACACGAGCATGAAGTTTCATTAAATTATCTTCAGCAGATCAGAAGTTATGGTCCAGATGTTTGTATGGACAACACATCTATTAACAGGCGTATAATATTAATAATATTAATAACATTAATAACATCTAGAGTCACAGCTCTGCCTGTTAAAGGGGTCTTTAAAGGCTTTGTGTGCATTCATAAGTCCTATGATCATTCTCAGACCTCTGCGCCGCTTCAATTCACATTTATCTTTCATGTCGAGCATCTTTACGTCTCTATAAAACAATTTAAAACTTGTTTTTTTACAAATCTCCTGTTGTTGCTGCAGAATAAACAAACTGAAGGACGTCCACCACACGTGAAACTGCTTCAGAGACTCTTAATGTTTTAGTTGGGTTATATTTGGAGGGTCTGGGGTTTCAGGATTACAGCGTCAGACGGACGACCTGCAGGTTTACTGAGTCCCAGTTCTCCACAGCACCCCCCCGCCCAGGGCCAGGCTGAAGCCCCTGTGCAACACTGATCATTTAGAAAAGGAACGCTCGGCTGCTGCAGAAGCTTTGGGGACATTTTCAGGATGTACAGAGAAAAAACTAATCTCTGCACTTTGATTCTTAAACATCTTTGAACCAGACACATTTTTCCATTTTGGTGTTCAGTTTGTGGGATTTTCATTTTCAGCGCCGTCATCAGTTATTAGCAGCAGGATGTTAAACCTCAGGAGCAAAAACCAACAAATGGCGGACGTTGTTTTAACACAACGTTCTTCAGACCTTCTGAAACACCCTCCTTAGAATTATCACCCCAACAAACACGGCAGGACTCCTCCTGACCTTGAAGTTAGAGCCCAGCTGTGGATCACAATGAACACCTTCTGATGGGAAACTCCAGCTGTTAAGAGCAACAGCTGGAGTTTCCTATCACAGACAATCCACATTGAGTTAAAGACTCATTTACAGGAGAGAGTTTCTATGAAGGGAAAACATTTTTTCCACAACGATGTGAATTTAAAAGCATCGTTCTTCGAGTCAAAACAAAGAAAAGCAGCCGAACTGATCAGCTTCACTTTAACATCTGTGTAGCTGCATTAATTTACTTTAAATACAACAACTCAATTTACCAAATCAAACAAAATATACTAAATGTGTTAATATACTGTTTAATCCATTTTACAGGTGAGAGATGGTTCTGTTGGGGACTGGGTCTGCTCGGATTAGTTCAGAGCTTTACCTTCTATAGTCAGAATACTTGGTGTATTCTTTACTTATGTAATATATATATATATATATATATATATATATATATATATATATATA